AAATTTGTAAAAAAATATTACTTAAGCCTTAAGCCTAAAAAAGATTTCTTCACACATTCCTCTCGCGATACTGTTATTTAATTTTTAATCTAGATACCTCTGGTTATCATATCAGTGCGGAGACGATGAGTACCAGTTTTATTTGAGTTGAGATCATAGTCGTTTTTTATTCGCTATAGTATCTATCTTTCTTACCTAACTTTCAGTGCCCAACTACCTTAAAATGAAACTTGAAAACGAAGTCATTAGTGCAAGTCTCTGTTCCATCGCCTAAAACCACCCCGGAGTGATTTCCATATAATATGTACAGATATTTATATGGATTATAAATAATAATTATTTATTTTCCAAGATTATAATCTTGTTAAATGTACTTGGAATACTAAAAAGTGTACACGTGTAAATGGTGATGTTTTATTATAATATTCTTTAACGCACTTATGGATTTATATTTTTATTCAACGGTCTATAATCATTTAGGCATAATCACTATAAAGTTGGAACTGGACAAGTTATAAACAAAACGATCAAGCTATAAACAAAATAATAAGATTCACGCAAATGGATGACACAGAAGGATGAATAATTCAATCAAAACATAAGTACTGTACAGCCTTATATTGTACTTACGCAGAAGAACCAGTCTAATTATACAATGTGTCTCGGTTCGGACTGTACAAACTTTAGGGGGTGATAGTTTGCTCTATTTTATCACTAAAATCATTCTACAGGTGGGGTCTAAACCCAACGGCCTCTGAATGGCAGCCATTTTTGTATTTTGGTTGACTTTTTCGTAGCGTCCATACTAAAAGTTATGTAACTTTGGAGTTTAATGTCCGATTATCGTAAAACAAAAACTTCCCATAACGGAAAAGTATTAGCAATCAGATAAATAACTCAAATAATTTTAATAATTGCTGTATCATATTAAAATGAATGCTAAAAGATCAACTTTACGTCAAAATTAACATTGTTTTTTAGTATTTCAAGGCTATTACAAAAAACACCCCTGTGAACTATCTCTTATTATGCATGTGTCTTACAGATGGTAAGCTTACCTAAATAATGATACCAAAAACTCGATTCTATGACAATTGGTTTAAAAAATATTGTTGTTGGAACATAGGCTTGTGCATGTAGTGAATTCATAACGATTTGGTTTTTTCTTTAGATATTTAAAGTGATTAGCAAAGATAAACAAAATAACAAGTATTAATTATTTAATAACAAATGTACATTTACAATAATTGTTCAAAATGTCCCCCAGCACTTTGAAGGCACGCAGTAGCCCGGATCGCTACCTGCTGTGTTGACCGTCTTAACTGGTTCGGATTATCTTTAATTTCGGCAGCAGCAACGCGAATACGCTCCAGCAACTCTTTTCTAGTGTTGACTGGCTCAAAATAAACTTTATGTTTCATCCAACCCCAGGGATAAAAGTCCAGTGGCGTTAAGTATGGCGAACGCGGTGGCCAGGCTACAGGACCGCCGCGGCCAATCCACTGTGGATGATATTGGTCTAGGTGTGCCCTTACCGCTCGGGCAAAGTGTGGAGGAGCTCCATCTAACTGAAGCCACATGCGTCGCCGATATGACAATGGTAATTCTAATAACGCTTCAGAAAATTAATTGGTCAGAAACTCTAAAAATCTTGGGCCATTTAAATTTCTTGGGAGTACGATGGGGCCAATCAATTGATCATCGATCATAGCTGCCCACACATTAACAGAAAATTCATGCTGAAATGTTGATGTTCTAACAGCATGTGGATTTTCAGACATCCACAAGTGTAGATTGCGGTGCTCATTCATATCTTACGCACGGAAGGGCTGCGTTCGAGCAACAATATCTCTTACACCAGTTGTCATAGAATCGAGTTTTTGGTATCATTATTTAGGTCAGCTTACCATCTCTGAGACACATGCATAATAAGAGATAGTTCACAGGGGTATTTTTTGTAATAGCCTTGAAATACTAAAAAACAATGTTAATTTTGACGTAAAGTTGATCTTTTAGCATTCATTTTAATATGATACAGCAATTATTAAAATTATTTGAGTTATTTATCTGATTGCTAATACTTTTCCGTTATGGGAAGTTTTTGTTTTACGATAATCGGACATTAAACTCCAAAGTTACATAACTTTTAGTATGGACGCTACGAAAAAGTCAACCAAAATACAAAAATGCCTGCCATTCACAGACCGTTGGGTTTAGACCCCACCCGTAGAATGATTTTAGTGATAAAATAGAGCAAACTATCACCCCCTAAAGTTTGTACAGTCCGAACCGAGACACATTGTATAGTAAGCTTATCATACGCACTTTTCCAAGATGACTTTACTAGTGCGCAATAAAGTCCATCTGTATCCCATATTCTACAGGACTGGACTGAAGCCGAAATTCTAAGGTACTACACGGGACAACGTCTCAATTCAGTGATCTTTTTTTACGTAGGAGGTAAACGAGCAGACCGGCGAGCAACTCGAGAGTTAAAAGAATGTTGCCGCCTTTCGAGTTGCTCGACACCAGGATCAGAGGGGTGTAGGTTTGGGCTGCGGTAATCTCACTGTTTCGATGAAAAACGACGAAAGAATTATCTTACACGACTTTTCTGTGAGGCCGTGGTATCACTCCGATCGAGCCGCCTCATTTGTGCCAAAGCATGGCTCTTTCACGGTGTCTTGGTTCTCGTACGTAAAACTACGATCCTTTCGACCATTAAGGACTGAGAAATAGGACAGAAATATTGTTCCCTTTAATATTTGGATGCTCTTATAAATGAATATACTTAGCTACATGTAATATTTTACAAGTGGTCATCCTACGTATGTTCGTACATAAATAGTTAACTTTCAATTTATAAGTTACCCCATTGTATCCTTCAGTTTTTATTATCGCAGTTTTCTTGTTACATACGCTCAGTTTCACAAGAAAATCCCTGGCTATTGTGAAAGGGGGAAACCTTTTCCCCTAAAATCAATACTGAAAGTGGGCGTCCCGACGCCGCTCCCACCGAACCATCATGGCCGACACAGGAACTTTGCGTCGCTCTTGTCGATTGCGCATGCCCTAGATACCCCTCTTTTTTACAACTTTATACCCTCAACTTCACTCGATCTAATTACCTGACTTACTTTTCATCTTTTTTATTTTTATATAGAACGTTCTAAGAAGAAGGCCTGTTAGTGTTCCTGTTAAGCCCTTGAACATACATGAATACTTTTTCTTCAAAGTTGATTTACAACAATTACTAGTCAATGTCGAATTATAATCACTCGATCACAAATTCGACATTTTAGTCATTACATTACCACCGCTTTCCCTCGTATTAGTAAGTATTTCAAACATATGGTTTTATATTCTTCGCAAATTATCATTAGGGTTTATAGTGAATAACGAGTCTCAAGTTTATATGTACCTACAGGACAATGCAAATGCTTCATGAATAAAAATGTTCTAAATACAAACTGATTCATACCCTTTTATTAACTGAGTGTCATCATGGTCATTTGCATTAAATTCGACACATTCATGTTGACGAAACCAAAGCCTTTATAGTATTAAAATCATTTTTTTTAAATATTTCGACTGAAAAATAAATGCAGAAACTGATGAGCCATGAAAATTCTATCAACTTTTTATGCTTTAACTTTTTGGCTTGTCTTTTCTTCTTAAGGTAATAGAATTCTATTACTATCGGTTGTTAATATTACCATCGTCTCGTCATAGCAAACTTCCTAGCTTTAAATAAAGTAGAAACCTGCATAGATAAGTCAACAATGATCTACAATTTTGCTAAATTGATCTGATACTAGAAGATAAAATTTTAGAGAATTTATATTATATGATACATACACAACTAAATTGTCCTAAAATACTAACCAAAATAGGTCTACGTGGCTACGATTAAAATTGTTTTGTACTTTGTACCCACATTTAAATAAAATTACACTACAAAATTTGTCAGTTACAATAATTAAAAACCATTTAAAGTTTTCACCTCCAATCAATTCAGATTTTTTATCATTTCAGAGTGATAAATACTTAAATTGAATAATAATTAAATATCGAATCTATAAATGTATATAAATTTAAAAATACAAAACGATGTTTTCTGTTTGTCGACGGATTTTTAAATTTGCGAATTGCGAACAGTAATCAAAAACTATATGAAATAAAACCTTAATTTAAACTTAGGTAAAGCGACGTACAGAAGATAATATTTTTGCAAGTAACAACAATACGTAGTAATAAATTACTAACATACGGCAGGCGTCGGTTCTCGGTAAAATATTTTTAAGGAAGCAAAAGAGAACTTGTTATTAGTTAAATTGCATCCTGGTCGAATGTCTGGCACAATTAAAGGTTTGTTTGAAGCGGATGCCGGAACAAAGCGAGCACGCGATCTGGATCGACATGCGTCTGCCTTATGTCGATGTGTCCTTCTACTTCGTAACCGATACCAAACTGGCGCCGACACTTATATGTAGCTATATAAATTCTACAAAATATCATTGTGTTTTAACAGCTACATAATTTAAATGATGGCAACGGTATATGAAACACCATTCTAATGACAAAATTAGCTAAAATGAAATCTGTTCCCTAACATTGTTTCTGTTAGATATCTGATTATTATTGCTTGATTGATTGATTATTATCATGAAATATTTAAATACCCAAATTATTTTGTTATACTTAACAAATAATCAAGCAAATATTACCTAAGTCAATTGAAAACTTACTTCTTAAGACTTACTTACTTATCAAGTATAAATGCGGAATTCACGATTAGAAAAACTTCGACTAATTTGCTCTTGGGGTTATAGTTTTACCCGAAGATATATGGACACTACCTGTACATTTTTTTTAATTTAAAGGATCACTTCCAAGCCATGTGTGCGACTGATAATTTATTTCTACGCTACCACCTATGGTGCAACAGTTTTTGTCTAAAGTTTTTGTGCCATTTTTTAATTGTAAGCATTTGTCAACAGGCACACATCGTATCGAGATTTATAATGAACGGCGTATGTGTGCGATGGCGAGGTTACATTGACTTGGAGCGACTGGACGGGGTCGGATGTCTAGAGTTAGACGAAGAAAGGATGGCTGTGGAGGACGCAGCACTACGGGATCAAATAGACCGGTACAATCAGCGATTACGCGATTTTGAAGACAAGCAACGTGCATATCGCGAGCATGGTGAAGAACAGCTGCGCGCGCATTCCCACGTGCACGCTCAACGTTGCCACCAGAGTCGTCAGCCTCCTCATGGCGGGCACCCAACACACCCGCACCCATCACACCCTGTACACATCAAACCACATTCACAGGGTGCTCTCATCTCTTAAATACTTTTACAGATATTGTTATAAATAAGTAGGTACAATTATGTATCTAGTAAGTAATTTCAAGTAATAAACCAAATTCAGCTATCAAGTTGAAAAACTTCATAGTCATTTAAGCTCGTCTATCCGTTATATTAGTATATTATCCTAAGTTGCAGGTATCCATTATACATTACAGGAAAGTGACTACCACTAGTCACTTTTCAGTAGGGGAATCTTCCGGACATTTGTATATGTCATAAAAAAAAACATTAGACAGGTAATCAAACTAAACCACTACCACTGAAATCATAAATAATATAATCAACTACAATCTTATTACTTCGATAACAGTCGGTTGCGAACGAGTGACTAATGACTATGACGAATAACTGCAATGTTAGATAAATATTAAATATAAGTGAATGTAGATATTTTGAATTAGGGATCTGCTAAAAATAGTATAGAGTCTCGACATAGAGACATGCCCGCATCAAAGATAATTGTTTTAACGTAGGAGAGCCATACTTCGGTATATTATGAGCCGGCTCGACCGGAGTGATATTACGGCCCCACAAAAAACCGATGTTAAGCATTTCTTTCGTTGCTTTTCTCTAAATGATTTAGAGTTACAGAACCAAGCCCCCAATTCTGGAGAAAGGTCGACAAGGCGGCGCACTATAGTATGAAAGCGTGAGTTGCGTCCCTATAATTTGTAACGTTTTTCCTACTGCACCTACGAATATGAAATTTCGCAAATAGGATCTCCAATACATAGACTTAGTAATGATACAATTATCTCTATTTATTTCATTTCTTATCCCATATATATAAATAAACAAATTAAAAAACACTATTTTTCAATACAAAATTACTTTTTTCAGCTCATGAAATGGTCATGAATGGTCAGATTCAATTGTCAGTAGTGCGCGTATATTCTCTAGTTTTTTCTGGATTGACAGATAAACCTGATGCCAACGTCTGAAGGATGACGTACAATCTTTATCCATTCCTGTGATTTCCGAAGTGCACTGGTAGTTTTCAATAAATCGACGAGCTGTATTTCCGTCATTACTATTTCCAGTTCTTTAACGTGGTTTATCAATGTGTAATCACATTTGGCTTCTAAATTGATGTTGCATGATTTCATTTTCATGATTGTTCTCGCAGACCATTTTTTCAGGAAAGATTTTACTTATGTGATATGTAAAATCATGTTCATGGTCCTTATCGTCTCGTCTCTACTAGACGCATCGCATCATGGCAGCAATCGAAGCTTCTTCCGGCTTACCTCCTGATCTCAATCCTTACACATATTGCGCGTTATGAACACACTCTAGACCATAGTTTCTTGAAGTTACTCCATATTCTTGCGTTTCTTTAATTTTTCTGATAGGTCTTTGTATGATTTGGATGACGCCCGCGTTCTCCATTCTGAAGGTTCGATGTTTATAGGTTCGTAAAGTTTTTCGACAACAGCTCTTTTTGTGTAGTTTCCACGACTATTTGACTTTTTGGATGTCCGAAAATGAAAGTTTGTGGTGTTCTTCTAAGTAACATTGTATGTCTTCTTGTTTAGTGCCATGATCAATAAGTCAAAAACTTCTTCGTGATACGATGAATTCACTTATTTTGCGCGTCAATTTATGGAATTATTTTTTAATCATTACCCTATTTAATTAACTTTCCAACAACTACTTACATGATTTACTACAAAAATAGAAATTACTAAGATCAGAATACCCGATGGTATTCTCATCTATTTAAATGGCACCGTTTAAAACTTCAAGGCCAAGAACTAATACCAAAAAGTACATTCTAGTCTATGTCATTAGCGTTAAATGATGTATTAATCATTCAGTTACACATTCTAATTAGTGCAAATATTAATCTTGCAAATATTGGTTGCGAAAAAATGTGTTTTGATACACTACTCATGCTTTCATCCTATAGTGCGGCACATAGTTCACAAAAAAACTTAGAAACTTTAGGATGTACTTATGCGAACTGCCTTTTGAATTTATAAACAAAAAAGCATAAAAATGTCACACACACTTTTGTGACACTTATAAAAATCAAAGTATTCAATTAAAATAACTAATAAAAGTATAAAACTTATAGAAATATAAGGAACATCCATATGACAATTTGCTGCTGCTGCAACTGCTCAATGATTGACCTTTCTGTCATTTCTACCATCAACATTGACTTGCCAAAGTTAGACCTAGCGTTTTTATGTTATTGGAACCAATCAAATGCATAACTATCTCTTTTATCATACAAACACGTTACAATTAATTTTTATTGCTCTATGCTTTAATCATTCCGCACTATATAGATACCAGATATATGTACCTATATACTAAACTGTACACCCTTAGCATTATAAAACCCTAGACAATTAGGTTACGGTGGTCACTGTCACTAATGTTTTAATATATTGTATGCAATATTTAACAGTATTTCTCACTATACCTAACAATGTTAAGTAGATATGTCGAAATTTTGTCATTTTAAATAACTTAGTGTGAAATGGAAAATGCAGTAGAACATGCCCAGGAAAGATTGTAAGAAGGTCTAGTTTAACGATTTTAAATGTACCTAATTAATACTTATATCATATTAATGTCGTCGTCTCATATAGTTAGTTATTCATTTTTTTCAAATTAATTTTACCTAATTATAAATTAATTAACTTTCTTGTTCAGTTGATAGTACACGTTATTTATTTCTAAGTTGATTTTATTTGTAATAGAATATATTGTGATAATATTGTGAATAAATCTTTAATGGTTTTTAATTATAACTGAAGTTTTAATGTGTGTTCAAATTAATTTATTTACTCATCGACTGCTCTCGAAATGTCACCTTATTTTTATCATTTTTTTATCAGATAACATTGACACATAGAATTACTATAATTATCGTCAAATACCTACATAATTAACTATCATGAACTGTAAGCGTCGACAAGGTTTCATAGTATCATTTAATTATAAAATGAGGGTTGTGTATCCCTAAGTTACACGCTAGTGAAGTTGAACATAATTAGACATGGATCGCATGTTTCGTTTGGCAGAGTCGGTGGAGGTGATGCGTGCACGGCACACACGCGCCGTGCACCTGTGCTCTGCACTCGTTCGGCGGCGCGTCGCCCGGGCCGCCCTTCCCCGCCCTCGCTCATTATACGCAATTTACCCAGCTAAGGAAATGTTCAAATTTATGCTTGTTGAACATAACACAAGTCGCTTGCTCGTTTTAAACATTGTTTAATTTAATAGCACTGTTTAAAATTGACAACTTTTCTATTATGTAACAAACCGCAATTTTTGGGCGTACTGTACATTTCCGGTTTAGACTTTATTTACAGTTTACGGTTTAGATCTGAAACAATTGACAAGTTGAAATAAAGTTTGATAACCGATAAGTAACTACCTACCCATGCTCCGGCTCCAAGATTTTGTGCCGAATAGAAAATAATAGATTAATTATGCAAAGACGTGGTTAGCCATTTGAGAAGGACACAGGGTACAATTAATAAAGGAAAATTCATAAAGTAGCACGTTAGCAAAATTTCGAAATCACTTTCAATTTTAAATATTGACATGACAAATTGGATTTTTTTAGAATAAATATCTGTCACGTTTTGGAACATAATTGGGTATTTGCTTCTTGACATTCAAATACTGAACAAAAATGTGATATACTATTTGATCATGGTAATGGTTATTTAATTAGATTCATAGTTGGTAATGTGACTCCGAAAGTAAATCTTTGAACCAATATAATTGTTTGTGTAACAAGAAAATGTCTCATTTGTTTCATTATTACATAAAATGATAAAACTCTTTTATTTCTGAGACTGAATTACTACGTTTCCTTCTATTTATGTTTATATCAAGAGCAATGCCATACCCGAAAAGTAGATTATCGACAGATAAATATAAACATAACCTGTTCTTAAAATACACAAGATGTTTTTTGAAATCCTTGGAAGCATCTAATGTCAAATAATCTCAGAACAAATCTTATTTTTTACCCCACCTTTGCAAAATTATACGCGGAACTGAACATTATCCGGTGAACAACGTTGATGGTATCACAAACTTTTATTGTGACGAACGGCACCTTGACCGTCAAAATTAAGCAGGTACCTTCTTTATTGGACATGATCTTTGATCGATGCCACAAAAAACTTGGTATTTTACAATGCATAAATCGGAGAACGCTATCCAGAGGCGGCATACAATGAACCTGTGATTTATCGGAGCATTCTTTTTGCGCAAAAAGCTCAGGTCAGTGTCGGAGCGAAGCACCAAAAGGGCATTTCGTGTAATCCGCGCGCACACCGTGGGAACGATGCACCGACTCTGATGTGGCTATTTGATTATGATAACTACAACTTATTTTACAAGTGAATATCCGTTTAACTTCTAATTTATATTTTTGTTGTTTTCGTATGTTGAGAAAACTATTAATTTGAGTGTTAGACTTATGTCATAATTACAAATCCTACACAATATTGTACCTTAACACGTATGTATGTATATATTTACAAAAAAAAGTATAATGTAATATGTATGTATTTACAAAAAAAAAGTATATATGTATTTATATCAGTTGTCTAGTACCCATAGTACAAGCTCTGCTTAGTTTGGGACTAGATGGCGTTTTATGAATGTGGTAGGATATTATTATTATTATTTGTAGCCTATAAAATTAATATTGCTCATTATCTCTTTAAATATATTCTCTCTAAATTTCATCACCAACATTTTTAAGTATTATCTTAAATCTGGGACTGTTAGATAATATCATTTTTTATTTGGGTCGTCGGTTTAAAGATCAGTTGTGATTTATTGTGTCGTCTCTAAAATGACACACACACACACACCCATACACACAAACACATACATAGAAATTAGACATAATATGTATGTAAACATAATAACCAAGATCGCCGACTTACATTTGAAACTATGATTAATCAAATAGGAAGCATTAAATACGATAAAAGAATAAGC